GAAAGAAGCATTCAGGGCGGTGCTCGATCCGTAGCCCAAGACACCCAAAACCCAGAGGAGATCGGGGCCAGCTTACGCATGATCTTCGAGATGTTGCAAGCCCAGCAATTAGCGATTGCTTGACTATAGAGCCAAACTCAAGCACAAAGCAGGCCGGTTTCCAATCCACTTCGAGAGGTCACCCCTAGAACAGAGCCTGCCATAGTAAACTCTAATGAGCAGGAATCGGGGACTACTCCCGGAATTACTAAATTGCTCGAGGAACTCACAAAACGAGTCGAAGCAAACGACAAGAGGGTAGAAACGTATAATGCCAGGGTCGATCAAATCCCGGGAGCTCCACCAATGATAAAAGGGCTTGATTCAAAAAAATTCATACAAAAGCCTTTTCCATCGAGTGCGGCACCGAAGCCAATCCCCAAAAAGTTCCGTATGCCCGAAATTCCCAAATATAATAGTACGACCGACCCTAACGAACATGTCACCTCTTACACGTGTGCCATAAAAGGCAACGATTTGGAAGATGATGAGATCAAATTCGTGCTATTGAAAAAGTTCGGGGAGACCCTCTCGAAAGGAGCTATGATTTGGTACCACAATTTACCACCAAACTCCATCGATTCTTTTGCCATATTAGCAGTTTCGTTCGTAAAAGCGCATGCTGGTGCCATAAAGGTTGCAACGAGAAAATCAGACCTCTTCAAAGTAAAGCAAAGGTAGGGAGAGATGCTGAGGGAATTCGTATCCCGATTTCAAATGGAACGCATGGAATTACCCCCGGTCACCGACAACTGGGCCGTACAAGCTTTCCCCCAAGGGTTGAACGAGCTAAGTTCAACAACATCACATCGGTTGAAGCAAAATTTGATCGAGTATCCGGCGGTAACTTGGGCAGATGTGCACAACCGATATCAATCGAAAATCAGGGTAGAGGATGATCAGACGGGGACCCTGTACGGACCTGATCATTAGAACAGGACAGTTATTAATCAAAAGCAGATCGACAGAGAGCAAAGGTCAAACAGAGACCGAT